AAACCCTCTGTGCCAAAAGCCCCTTACTAGAGTGTGTGCGTGTGCGCTCATCCATCCCACCCCACACACAGAGCCACCCGGTGCCCTCAAAGGTCTGTGGAGGAGGAGCATGCTAAACACAGTAGAGCTGATATGAACCATCAGAGAGTCCTCCTTTCCCCCACCCCATGGCAAGGGTGGGCCCAGGCCTGTTGCAGAGGAGGGATCTGTAGTGGGTTGGATCACAGAAACCCCCTTGGGAGCTGCCACCTGATGTGCCAAGACTACTTCTGCCCCTGCTTTCTCTGCCAGCTCGGGACCCCAGCACCGTGTCTTGCTGAGCCAGACATGCCTGTCTGCTCCAACACAGACCCAGGGTCTGAATTTCTTGCCCCAAAGCTGCAGATTTAACTGAAAGCAGCTTACAGAAGTGTTCTTGTCTTTAACACTCAGATGCCCAACTCCCAATAGGGTCTAAAACCCAAATAAATCCATTTTAGCCTGCATAAAGCTTATAGAGGATAAACTCATAAATTGTTCACCCTCTATAACACTGATAGAGAGATATGCACAGCTGTTTGCCCCCGCAGGTATTAATACATAATCTGGGTTAATTAATAAGTAAAAAGTGATTTTATTAAATACAGAAAGTAGGATTTAAGTGGTTCCAAGTAGTGACAGACAGAACAAAGTGAATTACCAAGTAAAATAAAACACACCAGTCTATGTCTAATTCAACTAAATACAGATAAAATCCTCACCAGTTCCAGAATGCTTCCTTTTACAGACTAATCTCCTTTTAGTCTGGGTCCAGCAATCACTCACACCCCTTGGAGTCACTGTACTTTGTTCCAGTTTCTTTCAGGTATCTTTGGGGGTGGAGAGGCTCTCTCTTTAGCCAGCTGAAGACAAAATGGAGGGGTCTCCCATGGGCTTAAATAGACTTTCTCTTGTGGGTGGAGACCCTCTCCTCTCTCCTATGCAAAGTCCAGCTCCAAGATGGAGTTCTGGAGTCACCTGGGCAAGTCACATGTCCATGCGTGACTCACAGTTTTTACAGGCAGAAGCCATTGCCCACATGGTATCTTGAATGTAGCTAGGAAGACTTCTTATGTGGATTGGAGCATTCCAAGATGCATTGTTCCTTAAGTGCTTCCTGATTGGGCACTTAACTTTGCGAATTCCTTTCTCCAGGAACTGACCAAATGCTCTACTAAGGTTATTTAGAAATCAAGCCAGTACACGGCCAATATTCATAACTTTGAGTACAAAAATGATACATGCATACAAATAGGATTAATAGATTCAGTAGATCATAACCTTTAGAGAGATATGTTACATGGCATATGTAGCATACAACACATTCTAGTTATGTTATATATATATACACATACATAAGCATATCTCCATAAAGCCTTTTGGGAGGTACCGACTGTCACAGGATCTGGCTGGGCTCTCAGAGGGGGGAGAACTGGGAACCCGGAAGCAGGGCACACTCAGAGTCCTGTGTCCCACTTGGGCTGTCTGGGGAGGCTTCAAGCCATGGTAGAAAGTGAGGGCTTTACTCCACTGTGGAACATTGACCCTCATAGGCCTCTGTGCCAAAGTGGAATTTTCTGTAATCTTTTAAAGATGCCTATGTGTGCCTCAGTTTCCCACTGTACTTTGCCCAGAGGGGGGGAGGGAGGGAAGGTTTAAGTCTGCTCTTGGGGCAGATCAGGAGATATGAGATGTGTGTGCCACCATGCTGTCTGGGGTGGAATGAATGGGTCATTAAGGAACCAGCTGGCTCTGAATCATGTCCAAATAAAGACAGCAGGAAATCCCCAGGGGCCAGGACATTGACACCTGGCAGTCAACCGCCAAAAGGAAGGAAGTCCCCCTCCACCTCCACCTCTCAGCAGGGAAGCAGAGCCAAGGCCCCAGCTGGAGACCAAAGAGAAAGGTGAGGTTGGATGGTGAGGTTAAGGGTGGCTCTGTGAAAAGACACAGGCTTCTCACCTTGGACTGAGAAGGAGCCAGAGACAGAGCCTGACATGAAGTGCATAGCAGTTTGGCTGACTGGTTGCTGTGGCTTGGCCAGACAGGCTATGTCTTGAGCTTTATATCTCTGTGCTAACCGAAGGACTTTCAGATTCAGCAGCCTGGTGACCTAGGATTGCCAACTTTCTACTCGTACAAAACTGAACACCCTTGCCCCGTCCCTGCCCCACCCCTCCTCTGAGGCCCCGCCCCCACTCACTCCATCCCCCCGTCCCTCTGTTGCTTGATCTCCTCACCATCACTCACTCGCTCATTTTCACCTGGCTGGCTCAGGGGGTTGGGGTGCAGGAGGGGGTGAGGGCTCCGGGGTGGGGCCAGAAATGAGGAGTTCAGGATGCGTGAGGGGGCTCCGGGCTGAGACAGTGGGTTGGGATGCAGGAGGGAGTGAGGGCTCCGGCTGGGGGTGCGGGCTCTTGGGTGGGGCCAGGGATGAGGGGTTTGGGGTGCAGAAGGGGACTCTGGGCTGGGGGGTGGAGCCAAGGGGTTCAGAATTTGGGAGGGGGCTCTGGGCTAAGGCAGGGGGTTGGGGTGTGGGAGAGGGTACAGGCTCTGGGCTGGGGGTGCAGGTTCAGGGGTGGGGCCAGAAATGATGGGTTCAGGGTGGGGGAGGGGGCTCCGGGCTGGGACAGGAGTGCAGGGAAGTGACGGATCTGGCTGGGGTGCAGGGTCTGGGGTGGGGCCATGAATGAGGGGTTTGGGGTGCGGGAGGGGGCTCCAGGCTGGGGAATGGGGCCAAGGGATTCGGAGTGCGTGAGGAGGCTGCAGGTTGAGGCAGGGGGTTGGGGTGCAGGGGGTTGAGGGCTCTGGCTGGGCGTGCAAGACCTGGGGTGGGGCCGGGGATGAGGGGTTTGGGGTTCAGGAGGGGGCTCTAGGTTTTGGGGGGCAGGGGTTTGGGGCTCAGGGTTGGGGTGCAGGATTACCTCGGGCGGCTCCCAGTCAGCAACACAGTGGGGCTAAGGCAGGCTGGCTAGTCCCTACGTGTCCTCACTCCATGCTGTGCCCCGGAAGCAGCCAGTAGGTTCGGCTCCTAGTTGCGGGGGGGGGGGGGGGCAGGAGCCTCCGTGCGCTGCTCTCACCCACAGGCACCTCTCCCCTAGCCCCCATTGGCTGCAGTTTCTGGCCAATGGGAGTGCAGAGCCAGTTATCGGGGCGAGGACAGCAGCGCGGAGCCCCATGCCCCCTCCCTCCCCGCCTAGGAGCCAGACCTGCTGGCAACTTCCGGGGCACAGCGCAGTGCCAGGACAGGTAGGGACTAGCCTGCCTTAGACCCACAGCACTGCCAACCGGACTTTTAATGGCCTGGTCGGTGGTGCTGACCAGAGCCATGTTGACCTGAACTTGATGGGTTAGTTTTTATGGCTCGCCACTGATCGCATCCGACCAGAAGATTTATAGGTTCTTGTCCAATTCAGACTACAGAGTTCAAGAACTCAGAGAGTTCTATATCAGGAGAGGACTCTCAGGATGCTTGGCAAGAACACGTACACTGAGGACAATACCAAATTGATAAAATCTTTATTGACATTAACATAAAAATAAGGAATGCAATGAAACTTATAACTGCAAAACAGTAAAAGAATTCCAAAACTCCTGGTGGTAACATTTCTATTATAAGTACCTTAACCTAACATACTCACACCCTTCCTTGGGAGCCTGGTAATAGAAGGTAAAGGACCAGCCTCACTCCTGGCATGCCCGATTACGCGATGGTGCTGGCTTCCCCAATGGTTAGGAATGTTGAGTAGTTATACTATACTGCACAAGCTGAGCTGATAGCGTGATAGAAGACAGAACAGAGTATAGGAGAACTGGAAAAAGCACTCCAAGAAACCGAAGCTTCAGGAGTTAGAAGAGTAAGAACTTAAGAGAGTTTAAGAGCTTAGAATATAGAACATAGCAGACCCTAAGAGCTAAAAAAGCTCAAGAGCACTCTCTTACAAGGTATTTTATAGGATCCTGACCTATGTAATTCAGGCCCAACCTACTATACCCAAATCTTATTTCCGTACCCTAAGAAATGTATGGGTACCCTTCTCCTATAGGTTAGGGGATTATGACACTTACTTTCTAAATATATTAATAAGGATTATCTCACTCCAAAACTGTCAACCTAGGCTCTCTTGATGACCTCGATTTGTGGTGTACCCTACGGTTACCAACTGGTTATAGATGCCGGATAAACCTGTGATGTGATGTGGATAGTTCCTCCCTTTGGTTCCCCAAAGTTCAGGGACCATTCTTATCTGTGCCAAAGGTTCCCAGTTTTTATGCTGACATATTTATAACTAATTCTACTTTTTGCTATATAGCAGATCTTACCGGATCTTACAGGCCAGTAGGCTTCTTCCATTTCAGCATTTCAGCAAAACGTATTATTAGGAAACACATGCTTCAACACATTCTAAATTCCAAGGAATTAGTACTGATAAAATATAAGAATAAAATGGATTAATTTCAGAAAAAGAAACATATTAATTAATACTGCTGGCTGGATTAGTAGGATATAATAGCTAGCAAAATAATCCTATGGGCTACAGCCACCAGGGTCCCTTTTTGACCGGGCGTTCTGGTCAAAAACTGGACACCTGGCAACCCTAGATTCATAGATTGTTCCCTGGTTTTGAAATGGCCACCTGCTGTCGCTGCAAATAGTCACCGTGGGCATAGCGTCCTGAAGGGGCACAGTACAAGCCTCCCGCAGGAGTCTGCTTGGCTGGATTCGCTGCAGGGAGCCCTGGGGAGACACAGGGATCACTGATGCCTGAAGGCCCAGTCTTGACAGCTTCTAATCTGTGTGCTCTGTGGAATGCCCTTTAGTCAATCAATAAAGGCCTCTTGTCCCATGGATTTACTGCACACTCTGCATTGTCAAAGGAGAGACAGGAATTCCCCCACCCACACACCCTCCAGTGCTCCCTAAATAAGGTGTTTCTCTCTGTATATTTTGACACTGTCGTCTTTTTGCCCCCATATCTAAGGTCACCCAACCTGGTGGACCCCCAGAGAAACCAACCTGGAACTCCTCCTTCCTCTTCCAAGGCAGGGATGGGGCCACCCTCTTCTCAGATGATACCAGCCTGGTGATCGAATACTATCCGTACAAAACAAGTGAGTTCCTCTCTCTGGGATTCGACCAGCTTTGGATCATTCCACTGGTGCAAAGGACATAGGCAGATCTAGGCACAACTATTGATTCACTCTGGTTTGTTGGGCACCAAAGATATTCATACATATCTAGGCTGGAAAGCTAAACAGAAGTGCGAGGCCACAGGAAGTGCTCTGGATTTAGTGTGGCTCTGTGTGTGAGACAGAAGAGTTCCTGGGGAATTCTAGGGGTCTGGGTTTTGCTCCCACCCAATTCCCATCTGGAGTTCCCCCAGGAGCGCAAGTAACAGCAGGTACTGGCACAGCACTCACTCACCTGTCACAACAAAGCCATGGTCTCCCAGGCCACTCCAAAGATTGTTCCATTCCAGCAGGCAGCAATTTGCAGTGGTCCAAGCTGGATTTCAAAGCTATCATCAGGCTGCTTTCGATCCCATGGGATAGCATCTCAGGGCTGTAGTGCTGCAGATTTATGGGGTCTCATGGGACAGGTCTCAGTGTGATAGTGCTGGGTTTGGAGGGGTCTCAGCACAGTACTGCTGTGTTTAGGAGATCACAGCGTGGTAGTGCTGGGTATTGTGGGGTCTCAGCATGGTAGTGCTCAGTTTCGGGGGGTCTCAGCGCAGTAATGCTGGGCTTGGTGGGGGTTCAGCGAGGTAGTGCTGGGCTTTGGGGGGTCTCAGCGACTTAGAACTGGGTTGTGATAAATGAAGGGGGGTGAGGGTAGCTCCCTTTTATGGACACCCAGCCAGCCAATAGCTATAAAATCCCTCTTAGTAGCTGTTCTCTACTTGCTCTACTTGCAAAGTGTTAAAAAGTCTCTCTGCTATGCATATGTAAAAGGAAGTGAGAGGGAAGAGCCAATGGGAAGGCTAGAACTTTTTAAAATTGAAACAAGACTCCCTTTTGTCTGTCTGTTGTTGTTCTCCTGGGGAGAGGCGGACAGGGCAGCAGCCATGCTGTAAGAAGCTTGGGCCAGGTATGAAAAGATCATCAGAATCATACCTAGAAACTACTCATTTAAAACCCCAGATATGTAAGTAGATCAGGAATGTCTAGGAAGACGCGATTAGGTTTATTCCTTTTATTTCATTATTGCTTGTGGATTCCTCTGTGCTAACCCCAGGTGCTTTTGTTTTTCTTGTAAACTTTAAGCGGGTCTTCAAGAAAGCTATCCTTGTAGTTACTCTTTTTTAAATCTAGCAATAGCCTGAGTTTCCAGATGTATTTTCTTTTCTTTTTTAATACAATTTACCTTTTTTAAGAACAGGATTGGATATCTGTCTCTTAAGAGGTTTGTGCACATTGTTTAATTAGCTGGTGGCAACAGCTGATTTCCTTTTTTTTCTTTCTTAGCTCTTCCCCGGAGGGGGGAGTGAAAGGGCTTGAGGGTACCCCACAGGAAGGAATTCCCAAGTGCGCCTTCCTGGGCTCTCAAAGGGGTTCTGCATTTGGGTGGTGGCAGCATTTACCAATCCAAGGTCAGAGAAAAGCAGTAACCTTGGGAGTTTAATACAAGCCTGGAGTGGCCAGTATTAATTTTTATAATCCTTGCAGGCCCTCACCTTCTGCACTCGAAGTGCCAAAGTGAGGAATCAGCCTTGACATGGGTTTTAGGGGTCTGAGGGCTGTAGTGCTGGGTTTTGGGTGGTCTCAGCAATGTAGTGCTGGGTTTTCGGCAGTTCCAGTGCAGCAGTGCTGGGTTTTGGGGGGTCTTGGCATGGTAGGGCTGGATTTTGGGGGGTCTCAGCACAGTAGTGCTGGGTTTTCAGTGTTCTCAGTGTGATAATACTGGGTTTTGGGGGGGTCTCAGCATGGTACTGCTGGGTTTTGGGGGTCTCAGCGAAATAGTGGTGGTTTTCAGGTATCTAAGTGTTGTAGTGCTGGGCTTTTGGGGGGGTCTAAGCGAGGTAGTGCTGGATTTTGTGGAGTCTCAACACAGTAGTGCTTGGTTTTGGGGGTCTCAGGGCTGTGGTGCTGGGTTTTGGGGGGTCACAGTGTGGTAGTGCTGTGTTTTGGGGGGTCTCAGAGAGGTAGTGCTGGGTATGAGGGTCTAGGCATGGTAGTGCTGGAATTTGCGGGGCTCTCAGCACAATACTGCTGGGTTTCGGGAGTCTCAGCATGATAGTGCTGAGTTCTGGGAGTCTCAGTAAGGTAGTGCTGGGTTTTGGGGGGGTCTTAGCGACTTAGTGCTAGGTTTTGGGGGTCTGAGGGCTGCAGTGCTGGGTTTTGGGGTCTCAGCGTGGTAGTGCTGGGTTTTGGGGTCTCAGTGACATAGTGCTGGGTTTTGAGAGTCTCAGCAAGGTAGTGTTGGGTTTTGGGGGTCTGGGAGCTGTAGTGTTTGGTTTTGGGAGTCTCAGGGCAGTAGGGCAAGGTTTTGGGGAGTCGACAATGTAGTACTGGGGGATCTCGGGGCTGTAGTGGTGGGTTTTGGGGGGGTCTCAGTGAGGTAGTGCTGGGTTTTCAGCGGTCGCAGTGCAGCAGTGCTAGGTTTGAGGGGGGGTCTTGGCATGGGAGTGCTGGATTTTGGGGTGAGGTCTCAGTGTGGTAGTCCTGGGTTTTGGGGCATCTCAGTGACAGTACTGCATTTTGGGGGGGGTCTGAAAGATCTAGTGTTGGGTTTTGTGGGCCTCAGGACTGTAGTGCTGGGATGTCTCAGCAACATAGTGCTGGGCTTTGTGGGGTCTGAGCAAAGTAGTGTTGGGTCTTGCAGGGGTCTTAGCGACTTAGTTCTGGGTTTTGGGCATCTGAAGGCTGTAGTTCTGGGTTTTTGAGGTTTCAGGGCTGTAGTGCTGGGTTTTGGGGGGTCTCAGCATGGTAATACTGGATTTTGGGGGGGGTCTCAGCACGATACTGCTGGTTTTCGGGAGTTTCAGTGAGCTAGTTGTGGCCTCTAGGGGTCTCAGTGTGGTAGTGCTGGGTTTTCAGGGATCTCAGCGACTTAATACTTGGGTTGGTGGGGGGGTCTCCACATGGTACTGCTGGGTTTCAGATGTCTCAGGGCTGTAGTGCTGGGTTTTGGGGGAGGGGGTCTCAGCGACTTAGTGCTTTGTTTAGGGGGGTCTGAGGACTGTAGTGCCTGGTTTTGTGGGGTCTCAGTGACATAGTGCTGGGCTTTTTGGGGTCTCGGTGTGGTAGTGCTGGATTTAGGGGGGTGTCAGTGAGGTAGTGCAGAGTTTGGGCGGGGGGGGGGGTGTCTCAGCATCTTAGTTCATAGAATCATAGAATATCAGGGTTGGAAGAGACCTCAGGAGGTTATTTAGTCCAACCCCCTGCCCAAAGCAGGCCCAATCCCCAGACAGATTTTTGCCCCAGATCCCTAAATGGCCCCCTCACGGATTGAACTCACAACCCTGGGTTTAGCAGGCCAATGCTCAAACCACTGAGCTATCCCTCCCCCCAGTTCTGGGGTTTGGGGGTCTGAAGGCTGTAGTGCTGGGTTTTGTGGTGTCTCAGCGATTTAGTAATTTGTTTAGGGGGGCCTAAGGGCTGTAGTGCTGGGCTTTGGTGGTCTCAGGATGGTAGTGCTGGGTTTTGGGGAGTCTCAGGGACATAGTGCTGGGTTTTGGAGGGTCTCAGAGACATAGTGCTCAGTTTTGTGCAGTCTCAGCAACATGGTGCTGGGTTTTGTGGGGTCTCAGCATGGTAGTGCTGGATTTTGGGTGATCTCAGCGAGCTAGTGGTGGGTTTGAGGGGTCTCAGTGTGGTAGTGCTGGTGTTAGGGAGTCTAAGCGAGGTAGTGCTGGGTTTTGGGGGACTCAGGGCTATAATTCTGGGTTGGGGGGTCTCAGCAGGGTAGTGCTGGGTTTTGTGGGGTCTCAGCAATCTAGTGCTGGGTTTTGTGGGGTCTCGGCGTGATAGTGCTGGACATTGGGGATCTCAGTGTGGTAGTGCGGGGTTTTGGGGGATCTTAGCAAGGTAGTGCTAGGTTTTGGTGGGGTCTCAGCGACATAGCGCTGGGTTTGGAGGGTCTGAGGGCTTTAGTGCTGGATTATGGCGGTCTCAGGGCTTTAGTGCTGGGTTTGGGGGGTCTCAGCAAGGTGGTGCTGGACATTGAGGGGTCTCAGTGGGTTTTGGGGGGGTCTCGATGTGGTAGTGCTTGGCTATGGGGGTCTCAGGGCATTAGTGGTGGGCTTTGTCAGGTCTTGGCACGGTAATGCTGGGTTTTGGGGGGGTCTCAGCAAGCTAATGGTGTGTTTTGGGGTCTCAGTGTTGTACTGTTGGGTTAGGGGCATCTAAGTGCGGTAGTGTTGGGTTTTGGAGGTCTCAGGGCTGTAGTGCTGGGCTTTGGGATCTCAGGGCTGTAGTGCTGGGTTTTGGGAGTCTCAGTGCAGGACTGCTCGGGTTTTCTGGTTTTGGGGGTTCAGAGCAGTAGTGCCGGGCTTTGGAAGTCTCAGCATGGTAGTGCTGGGTTTGAGGGGTCTCAGCATGATACTGATGAGTTTGGGGGGTCTCAGCACAGTAGTGCTGTGTGTTGGGGCATCTCAGGGAGTTAATGCTGGCTTTGGGCTGATCTTAGCATGGTAGTGCTGGGTTTTGGGAGTCTCAGGGCTGGGTCTTGAGGGGCCTCAGCACAATAGTGTTGGGTTTCTGGGGTCTCAGCATGGTAGTGCTGGGTTTTCCTGGCTCTTAGGGCTGTAGTACTGCCAGGTTCACGGCAGGGAATAGTCCTTTTTTCTCTTTATAAAGTGTATTTGATGTGATTCCTTTCCCCAGTGTCAGAAACAGAAGCTGAGAACAAGCCAAAGCCTTTGGGTTACTCTGTGTTGCCCCTAACCAACCGTGTGTATCGGAGTCTTGTGGCAGAGAGCAACCGGAGTGGGGTTCGTGTAGATGATGTTCCAATCCAGGTAACTGCTCTGGGTCCTGCTGAGGGCAGATCGAACACTGATTCCTTGTGTCCTGCTGGAAGAGTTCCTTGTGTAAGAATGAGTCATGTACCACCCACCTTGCTGTCTGATCCCATCCTGGTTTGGCCTGGGTAGCTGAAAGAACTTAGAATGAACAGAGCCAGCCAGGAGGAGATCTCATGCAAGAGTGAGGCACGGGGTAGAGGTGCTTTGTATGGTGGGAAGAGGTGTTTGCCAGACGAAGAGAAGAGGAAGGGCGGGGGGACTTTCTCATGGTGTGTTAATGGGGGGATAATATGATAAGCAGTACAATGAGGGCCAGGGGGAGTTCACTCAGACAGAGGCAACCAGCAGAAGTCCTGGGTTCTCATCCAGGGAACAGCTCTTGTGGAGCAGGAGAAAGAGGAGGAATTGCTCTATGTGGAGTGCAGTGGGAGAACATCTGCATTTGTTCTCATCACAGTGCATGGAGTCTCACAGGATTGTCTCTAGGCTTCCAGAGAGGATGAAAGGTCATTGCTTCCTCCTCTACCCACAGGAGTGTTTCACTTGTCACTGCTGCCAGTTTGTCTGGCATCTGCTCGGCCTGATCTGGGAACAGTACTGGGTGAGCATGGTGTCTGGGGACAAAGCCAGGTTCTTTCAGTTACATTCATCCCCAGCAGGGACTGGCGAACCAGAGCCAGTCCCAACCAAGGCTCCCCAGATTGATCCAACCAACTAAATTCCTGCTTGGTCAACATATTCCTGAAGTTATTTTTCATGTTTTAGGCTGACCCCGGTAACTGCAGGGCAACTAATCTGTTACCTTCACTCAGGAACAGGGGTGGCTCCAGGCACCAGCGCACCAAGCGCGTGCCTGGGGTGGCAAGCCGCGGGGGGCGGCCTGCCGGTCGCCGTGAGGGCGGCAGTCAGGCTGCCTTCGGCGGCATGCCTGCAGGAGGTCCGCCGGTCCCGCGGTTTAGGCGGCAATTTGGCGGCAGGTACGCCGAAGGCGTGGGACCGGCAGACCTCCTACAGGCATGCCACCGAAGGCTGCCTGACTGCCGTGCTTGGGGCGGCAAAATACATAGACCCGCCCCTGCTCAGGAAGGCTGACTTCAGCCTGCATTGACCCTGGAGCATTTATGAGGGTGTTAACCCACCAACATGTGGTACCTGCTGCGTGCTCACGGGCCCTGGCCAGCTAGGAGAAGCTATCATACTTGTCTCCTGTAACTTAACCCCATGTTAAATAATTTCTAGGCCAAGTTCTAAAAGGTGCTGAGCACCCACAATTCCCACTCATTTTGTGGGAGCTATGGCTGCTCAGCCTCTCTCTGGATTTGGACCCTACATGGGGAGTGTATAGCTGCTGGCACAGGGTTCTCTCTGGGTGTGGGTAGTACCTGGGAGCAGGCAATGATGCACAGACCTCACCCGCCATCTTTAGAAACAGGACCATAGAGCTGAATGCTGGGGGGTTGACTTCTGATGTGTCATTCATTCCAGCTTATTAACTGCTTCACTGCTGGCTCTTCACTCCTGCATGCCTGTAGCCATATCCTGCCGATGGCCTGTTGGAATCCCTTTGGAGTGTCATGGCAGCCCTGGCACACCTGGTAGCCCCAATCTCCTGGCATGTTAAGCTGCAGCAGGGAAGCAAGCAAATTCCTTGCTGGCTGCTGTCCATAACAGACTGGCACCAGCCAGTCAAAGCTATTACAGGCTATGGGTTGCCATCTGACACTCTGATGTTCTCAGGAGCTGATGTTCTCATGTGGATTTTATTGACCTTGTCCTTCCTTATGTTGTTTCCCCAGGGCACTAATCTGAGAACCACATCTGGTGCTGTTCCAACCGTTCAACTCTGCATGCAGCTGATCGGCTCAGAGGTGAGGCAAGTGGGAAGGAACAGATTAACTTTAGAGACAAGGGGCCACCTCAGTCAATGGGGCTATGTGGGTGAGATTTAGTCCATGGATGTGAAAGGGGAATTCCCCTTTCCCATCACGGGGAAAGAAGAGTAGGATATTTTTACTTTAGATAGGACGCAGATCTGTACCTGCATCCAAACCCCCCTGAAAAAAAGGGAATTTTGGGCCTGGATCCAAAGGCGAATCACTGGGGTTTGCTATTCCGGCTAGGCAGCACCCGAGTGTTGGCATGCCCTACAGTTCACTCCAATGCCCTCCAAGGTTCCCACACAGATCCTCTGCCAGCTGAATGCCCATCCATCCCCTGCCCCAGTACCACTCTGGAGGAGGCTGCCCCATCCCTTGGCAGGCATGGGCGAGGAGGACAGGAGGTCAGTCATGCAGATTCCATGCCAGTGAAGCTGGCACTGAATGACATGAATAGAAACAAACTGAAGGTGTCCAGGCTGCTGCCATCCTGAGAGCAGGTTACATCCAGAGGCCACTGTGAGACTTTTGGGGTTCCCCAAGGTGTCTGGGGTGAGTCACTACCACCTGCTTACAGGGTAAGAGAGCTGATGTTCATCAGAACATCCTAGGGGAAAAAATGATCCCAACTCTGCCAGCTGCTGGCAGCACAAGCACTCCACTCTGGGCTCCATGATCCTTGCATGCTCCACCTTTGGACACTCTAGTGCCCAGTCCCTTCTCTTCTGGATACCCACAATATACATCAATCTGCTGCTTCCGGGCCAGCAGTGCACCCCAGTTCACCAGCCTCCCCTCACTCAACACACTTTAGCGCAAAGCACTTGGTCACGTGTAAAGTAGAAACTAAATATAAGTTAATTTAACAGAGCTTAAGAAAAAGTTCCAAAATAGATGGAAGTACAAGGATTGGAATCACCAGTTTACAGAGAAAAGAAAAACATAAAACGCAATCTCGAGTCTATTCTAACTAACAAGTTCTTTTTCAGTCTAATAAGGAATTTCTCCTGCAATGGCATGGGCAGCAAGTATCACAGGCCAGGGGAGGCTAAGCCTCCCCAAACAGCCAGGAGTGGCCCTGCCCACGCTCTTTTCCAAGATCTTCCTGCTTCCCACTGTTCCCTCATGGCCCCAGCCCAGGCTGCTCCTCTTCCCCAAAATGGGAAGGGGCTGCGGCTAAGGGGGACCAGCCTTTGTTCTGGGATTCGGGGTGACTGAGGCCACCCGCCCAGTGCTCCAGGGCTGGGGATTCCCGCCCAGCATTCCAGGACTGGTGGCACTGGGGACGCCTGCCCAGCACTCCCAGACTGAGGGCACTCAGGCCACCCACCCGGCGCTCCAGGGCTGGGGGCACTGGGGCAGCCCGCCCGGCGCTCCAGGGCTGGGGGTGCTGGGGCCAGCCGGGGTGGCCTAGGGCTAGAGATTCTAGGGTGGAGCAGCCCAGCCAGGGCAGCCTGGGACTGGGGAGCCGGCGGCTGTGGGGGAGGGGCTGGGGTTAGCCTCCCCGAACGGACAGTTCACGTGCCGCCCATGCCCGATGGTCAGTCCTTACAGCACTAGTCCAGCCCAGACAGCTGGGATCTACCTTTCATGAGACACTCCCACTGGCAGAGTGTCACCTCTGTAATGGATAACATCTTGTGCCCTCTCTTCTTCTCTTAGTCTCTGACGTTTTGTGTCTTTCCATAATCAGGATGTTCCATAATCAGGGTGTTCAGCCTAGAGGGTCCCATCGTCAGAGGCTTTTCGTTGGGTTCCTTTGTCTTTGTCAATGCTCATGTGGTCCAAGCAGGAAATACAGGGCTGGGCTAGGTCAAAAGATGTTGATTGTTTTCACTCTTAATTGAGTTAGCTCTGAGACCCATCCACCTCAGGTGATCTGCTTCATCTCCAACAGTTTTGGAACATCATATTCTGCATTTTGCAGAGCTCTGAAAACATTTCCCATATAAATGTCTCACAATAACCAAGATGATCAGCCAGTTCTTATGTTTCCTTGCCAAAATCTAGGGCATCCCACCTGTACCCTATAGTAGGGAGAGAGCCTGAAGCATAAGCCCTTGTATCAGAAGCCCGGTATGAGGCAGGACCTGCTCACAGAATCTGGCAAGAACAGGGCTGATATTGCAGAAATACACATTCCTAAGAAGTACAAAGCACAGAGTACTCATGCAAACACATCCCAATATCAAGTGGTACCAGAACATCCCAATATCAAGGATGATACAAAAACATTCCCCAAGGATAACAGGAACACGCTAACCCCTCCTAAAAGACAAAGTCAGGATGACAGTACATAATAAAGATGTTTTAATCAAATCAACATGTACAAGGTGATGGGTGATAACTAACCACATCAGGGAGCAGTAATTAAGTATGTCAGAGGCAGTACGTAACATGTTTGTATCAGGGTATAAAGATGTATCTCGGAGGGAGTATTTTTGTCCAGCCAAGGGGGGAATGGAAAGTCCTGCCATTCACTGAGCTGTGTCTATTGTCATGGGCATACATGTCTTAGTATCCTCGTAGAGTCTGCCAGGTGCTATATACTGTGCTCTGTCGACAATAAACCTGGCCTGGTGCCTTTGTACCTTAACAAATCTTGTGGTCATTGGGTGGTTCGCTCGAGGTCTGCTGTGCCAGCTGTCTGCACACAGAGAACACACACATGCAGCCAAACATCTAACCACACACTCTACCGAGGGCTCAAGGCTTGACCTGGTCAATTTAGGCACTCCCACCCTTTTCCTTCTGAGGGCTTGTGGGTAAGGCACCTACCCTTTCCCATGGGGCTCAGAGCTCTACAGGTCTGCAGGATCTTTTCCCAGTGAAAAAGCCTTACACAGCTGTTCTCTAAACATCTATTCTGGCATATGTATTCTGTGCAACATGCACAGAATACATATGCCAAGCAAATATATTATGCTCACTACTCCCAATACACAGACAAACTTCACCCGATGGCCAGTCAGAATCCACGTGTCTGGAGGTGCCCGCCAATGCTTCTGCACATCACGGTTGTGGAGAGAGGTCAGAGTTCTAGCAGCTTGATATTGAACTGAAGTCCAGACATAGCTCCCATTATATAGGTAAAACTAACTACTTCCATTAACTCTATTAAACCCATCACATTATTCGATACCCCTAGGTAACAAAATTTAACCAATCATGCACTGGCACCTATGTTTGCTCCTCCCTGCTCAAGTCTTTTTTATATTTTCTCTCTCATGCTCAAATTGTAACATATTTATGACTTAGTTTGTTTGTGCAGATGACCATCATAAATTCGCTGGTCAGAGCTTATTTTATCTATTTTACCATTTATTGGGTCTTTCTGTATCCTCCCAGTGCCTGGATATCTCTACTTTACAACCTTTGGTATTATAACTCTTGTTAGGGGCATTCCTGTGGTGGGGTGCCCACGGCAGTGGAGCAATTTTATTTAATTTCAGTGGTGAAATCCCTGAGTCCCACCCAAGGCTAGTCAAGGCTAGTTTAGTATGGGGGTGAGTTAAGTCCCGGGCCTACACTTAGCTTTCAGCGAGAACATCCCCACCCCTTTGGTGAAGCTGGTCAAACATAGGTATAATAGGATTGCCTGTGCGTGTCTGGGCATGCCTGTGTCACATACACTTGGGGACTACAGATGCAGGGTTATATAGACTTATAAAGCGTGTGCCCTTCTCCACTCCCCTCCTGTCTCCCAGAACTCGTAAAGGAACCATGCTAGTATAACACAGGCAGGGAGATCCGACAGGCCTGGCTTAAGGAAGGGGCTGAAGCAGAGGCTTAGTCCATTGTGCTCTACAACAAAAGGGGCCAAAGGGGAGGATCTGGGAAGAGAGAATGTAAAGTAAATCCCAGGCATGACCTTTGAACATGGCTTCTGTGATGGGAAATAACATGGGCCATACCAGGGCAGAGGGGATTTGCAGTCCCCCATGGGGGGCCCACTATAGGGTGCAGCCTCTTTCCCCTGCCCCCATGTGGCTGGCTAGTAGGGTTGCCACCCATTTGGGTTTTACCAAGACAGTTCATTTTTTGGCATCTGTGTCTGGATGCCATTTGCCAGGTGCCCAGTTTTCGACTGGAAAGTCCAGTCAAAAAGGTGACCTGGCAGTAGGGTTGCCAACTCTCCCAGTTTCACCAGGAGTCTCCCGGAATCTGGCTCTATGTCCCAGAGGCTACTGAAACCAAACCGGGAGATTTTAGGCTGCTAGAAGTCCGGCGGCGCAGCGGGGCTAAGGCAGGCTCCCTGCCTGCCCTGGCCCTGCGCCGGTCCCAGAAGTGACCAGCACGTCCCTGCGGTCCCTGGGGGTGCGAGGGCAAGAGTCTCCACATACTGCCTACGCCCCGAGCTCTGACTCTGCAGCTCCCATTGGCCAGGAACTGCGGCCAATGGGAGCTGCGGGAGTGGTGCCTGCAGGCAGGGGCAACGCAGCCCCCCCCAGGGCTGCAGGGACTTGCTGGCTGCTTCCGGGAGCAGTGTGTGGAGGGAGCAGCATGTGGAGCCCCCTGACCCCATTTACCTTGGGCGGCTCCTGGTCGGCGTCGCAGTGGGGCTAAGGCAGGCTCCAACCCTGCAGCTCCCATTGGCCTCAGTTCCCAGCCAATGGGAGCTGTGGAGTGGGGGCAAGGGCAGCACACAGATACCTCTACCCCCCACCACCACCCGAGGGGCTGCAGGGATGTCCCGGACACTTCTGGGAGCAGCACGGAGCCTGGGCAGGCAGGGACCCTGCCTTAGCCCCACTGCGCCATTGACTGGGAGCCGCCCGAGGTAAGCACCACCTGGCCGGAGCCTGCTCCCCTCACCCCCTCCCACACCCCAACCCCCTGAGCTCCCTCCTGCACCCAAACTCCCTCCCAGATCCCACACCCCACATTCCCTTCTGCACCCCAACCTCCTTTCCCAGCCCTGAGCCCCCTCCAGCACCCTAACTCCCTCCCAGAGCTTGCACCTTGCACCCCCTCCTGCACCGCAACCCCTT